AAGGTTTTGAATAAGCCCCATGCCATCAAGCCACTGATTGGAGGTCACACCCATTCTGGTCTATCGCCATCATGAAGTTGTGTTACAGCCGTGCAGCATTTGTCGTAGTTATTCTATATCCACCTTCTTGAACCCCTTGCAATAGTCCAATTACTATGAAGCACATTTTGCTTGAATGTGTTGATTACACACTTATCAGACAACGCTTTAATGAGATCGTTCAAACCTTGTCTGGACTTTTTAAAAGTTGATTTTTAGCATATTTAAAAGAAATCAAACACTATGATAAAATAAAGATTATTATCTGAACAGTCAGGCTTTTACCCTTGAATGTGATATTTGACTGAGGTTTTAGTGATTTTCACATCACTTATATTATGTTTGTTTACATATGACAGATTAGACACGGTCTCGTCGCGAGGAGCTGCAAGGTTGTTGGGGCGTCAAGCAATAACTATTCACTCACTCACTCGCAGTAAATGTGAAGCCTCAGTGACCTTTTGACCCTTTGGCCTATGTGAGCATCACTTCATAAATTGTTTGATCAAAGAACTTGGTTTACATGACATATCAAATAATGCCACATATGAGGCTAGTATGTTAACTGAGGAAGGAATCTGCCAAAACCATGCATCAGTACTATCAACTTTTGACTTGATTCTAAAACCTGAAGACATGTCCATTCCTCTTTTGTACTTGTTTTCAAAGCTCCAGAAAAATCCACACAAAGAGAGATATATTGCTGGGTCCAAATCCTTGTCTCAAAGACTGACCATAATCCACTTAAAGGGGAAGTGTACACGCAAAAATCACTTTCTTTCTTTTTCTAAACAAAACGCAATTTTAGAATTAATTAGTATCTGTGTTTGAAAATATACACTCAATTTTTTCACAGTGAACGTAGGAAGCTCACAATAGTGTGAAAATGATATGCCGTTATGAGGCCTTCGTTTTTCGAGCTAAACAGGCCTGAGTTATCCCCCTTAGATTATGACGTAATTGGTGCCAATTCAACTGGGTCCCTGTCTATTCTCAACGCAAAAGATATCAAGTACCAGTTTTTCGGTAAAACAACATGGCCTACGACACACTCCGGCGCAGTGGTGACTCAGCATAACACTATGCTGGCTGGCATCTGAGACGCTAGAATCACACACCTGGACCTTCACCACGTGAAGCGGCTCTAACAAAGCATGATGACGTCATAATGTTTATCAATTGGCACCAATGACGTCATATTGCAAGGGGCATAAGCCATGGTGTTTTTGGTGTGGAAATAGAACACTTGGTAAATGTGAAAAATATAAATCGTTTTAATGCGAAAAATATGTTAATTAATTGTGATATTTTTACATTTTTGTCTATGACTCTTCTATGTTAACACTTTTAATGTGGAAAAAGTACAAGAAAAATAGGTTCATTTCCGTGTGAACTTGCCCTTTAAGGAAGGACTTCCTTTTTATTCACAGAAAGTATTTGCGACAAGTGGAATAAATGCCATGTAGATTCTCAAAAACTCTAAGGATTTGCTTAACTTTTTGCAATCTCAGAAAAGAACCAAGTTCCATTCTGTCAGGACATTGGACCTTTTGAGCCTTAAGTTAATGAACCATTTCCCCTGTTTACATGTACATCCTAATCAACATTTTAAATGACTCCCTTGCTTTGAGTCTTTGGGACACTACCCATGACACGGAGGTCACAAATTCATGCTGCGAACAAGACTCCTTTAACTGCTCAACACATCCAGTCACTTTTTAAAGTTTTTTTTACTTATTCAACATCACCAATATTTTGTTAATGCCATGGGCCAAAGAAAGAGCGCTCAAGTTATTAAGGCCCTGTCTGGGGTGAACTGGTGAAAATATAACCCACATCGTTCTGTGACAGGTCACGCACAGTGTTGCTCTTTTTGGAGACCATTGTAGTGTAATTTTTGGCAAATTCTGCATTGGTAGATGTCTCCTCAAATGCATTCAGGATATCATCAACCCCATGCCCGTCAATATCCCTTTCTATATCGACGACTAACGACGAGTTCGCCAAAAAATATAGCAAAAACTGAGACAAGCCACGTGGGATGAGAAGTCCGTGCAACAGTACTTCATAAAAGAAAGAGAAACATGGCTTAATATTTTATAAATGAGCCAATATTTAAAGCTGGCCGTTATCTAAACTTGGTTTTACTATTAACTCCATTTAATTCCGGAAGATAAAAATGTAACAATATCTAGCCTCATATGAGGCAAATAGGGAGGTCGACTATCCACAGGTCTTCAGTGACTTGATGGTTACTATTGATTTATCTCCCTTATTGCTACAGATTATCTCGTGTCGGCTAACCGCAAGCTACATTCCTCGCCTGAAGAACCGCCTCCGTGGTATATTATCTACAGGGTCTGCCCATGGTGTGGAATGTTGGGGGTTATACCAAACGACGCTAAATAATGGTGCTTGTTGTCACTCTGTCTGGCGCTCGGCATTAAGGGGATAAAACAAGGACTGGTTGGCTCGGAGTCAATATAATGTGTCTAATATAAGTAGGTATTCATGATAGAAGCTCCGGCATGGTATCGCAGTGGACTAGCACTATATATATGCAATAATCTTTAAAGCTACGTTATACCGCATTTCATCTCACCTCTCACCTGATGTCAATTGGGGGCACGGGTGGCCCAGTCGTCTAAGGCGCCGCGATTCGCTGTGCAGAGTTGCGCCCCTTGGGCACGCCAGAAACCTATGATTGTGGGTTCGAATCCCGGTTCGCCCCGATTATGTTTCTAGGTTTGTCAGCACCATACCCGTGCTCGTGGGTTTCACCGAAGTGGTAAACGTCTGAGATTCGGATCACTTCGGGCTTTCCTCCTACATTAAGCTGACATGCCGTGATATAACTGGAATAATGTTAAAAGCGGCGTTAAACCCAACTCACTCACACTTACTGATCTCAATTTAGCATATGAAGTGGTTCAGTGACGTGTCTCTGAAACGCCCACAGAAAGTTAGGAACGTGCCCTCGAGCTCTACGCGCTCTAGAAGTTGCAATATAACCAGCACACAGGTAACACGAAGATACAATTCGTCTTGGAAGGCTGCACAAACACTTAAAACACCAACATAATCTCCTCGTATACCTCGCCTTGCTGCACACAACAGCTAAATGCCTATGAGCGCATACACTTTACAATGAAATGCGTGAAAAACGAGTGACTAAACGCCATGACTTTTCAACATCAGGCAGTTTCGGTGTGTACTGTCTTCTTGTGACCATCATCACACTCAGAGTAGGGTATGAAGCGGGTATGTAGGCAGTGTGACTGACGGCATTCAACATTCAACAGGTTCCTCTTCTCTATTAGTCCATGTTTTTGGCACATGAGTGCAATAATCTTGGACGCGACGTTAAACCCCATTTCACCTCGCCGCCTCCGTGGTCTAGTGGTAGAGCGTCTGCCCGGGGAACGGAAGGTACGGGATTCGATCCCCGGTCGCGTCATACCAAAAAACATTAAAAGATGGTAATTGTTGTTACCCTGTCTGGCGCTCGGCATTAAGGGGCTAAACAAGGACAGGTCGGCTCGGAGTCAGTATACTGTGTCTGAGTGGGGTTTTCATGTTAAACTGCGGCATGGTATCTCAGTGAACTAGCACTATAAATCGGCATCAGTCCGGACTAGTACAAGCAGCAACAAACACACACACACACACACACACACACACACACACACACACACACACACACACACACACACACACACACACACACACACACACACACACACACACACACACACACACACACACACACACACACACACACACCGCTATATAAGTGCAATAATCTTCGACGCGACGTTAAACCCAATTTAACCTCACCCCACCACCATTTCACCTCGCATCATTACAACGGCGTATATCTTCATGTGAGTAATAACCTGGAGCCATGTTGAACCATGTAACATTCTGTAGGTAGGAGGGTCCGAAGGGAGCTGGGATTACTTTAGTGAGTGAGTTAATGATTTGGGGTTTAACGCCGCTTTTAACATTATTCCAGTTATATCACGGCGTGTCAGCTTAATGTGAGAGGAAAGCCCGAAGTGATGCATGTCTCAGACGATTACCACTTCGGTGAAACCCACGAGCACGGGTAGGTGCTGACAAACCTAGATACATAATCGGGGCGAACCGGGATTCGAACCCACAATCATAGGTTTCTGGCGTGTCCAAGGGGCTCGATCGTGGCGCCTTAGACGACTGGGCCACCTGTGCCCACCTGACGAATAACAGACGGTTAATATTGTAATAGGCGGAGAACACATGTAGACAGGAAGCCAATGAGAGACTTAAGATTGGAAAGAACTATTGTTTCATGGGTTCACAGTTGACGGATGAGATAAAATAGCCACGATCTGTTGATGGATTGCACGTGGGATCGAATCTAGACTGCTTCTGCTAGTTTTCTTTCGCGAAATCATGGTGGTTGTCATTGTATGTGTCAACAATGGCTGCCATGCGGTAAGAACCAGTCTAACCAGTTTACACAAGACGTAGTTTACTAAACCTGCAGTATATCGCGCAATTCACTCTGTCAGTGAATAAAATATGTCTCAGACACATAATCTAAATGTCGACCATCCAGCGTTCAGACACCACAAGGAGAAGCACTTTGAGTCGTCAAACTTGTTCACATACCCTGGCGTCACGCTCGGCATATTTAACAGTTTGCTTGTCATCCCTGTTGTAAACTTAGCTGGAAGGAAGGATATGTTTTACAACACCCGTTTATGTATAAAACCTGAATGTTTCTACTGATGCGCTTTTCATAAGCTAAACATAAGCTTAATGTTTCTGCTGTGCCTTCAAAGTCACAGGCCACTAAACAGAACCGTGTTTATTTAAAGCAAGATGACAAAGCAGTAAGCTCAACCTGGAGAACGCCCCTGTCTACCCGGGACTACATTGGTGCGTTTGGAAGGCGGCCGCTCATCCTTTACAAGGTTATGAACGCTGAGTGGTATCTTCGCACGTCGGCGATTTTTAAGTTTTAGGTCATCGCAGGATGGCGAATTGTGGTGTATTGTGAAGTTTCTTGTTGCTTTACTTGTGTTTCTTAAAGGGATGATCATTTAGGTGTGCTGTGAAAAACTTACCTCTCCACTGACCTGATTTCAGAACTTCGTTTTTCACCTTACCTTAACAAGCGCTCACTGTGTCCAACACTTGAACCGTAAAAACATTAACGTATACTCGTTTTGTTGAGCCTCGGATGTTTCTGTGTCGGCGAGTAGCTGCCTAGATGAATGTGCAGTGTAGTTGTGGTGTCGGTCTAGGAGAATAGGACAGGGAGCTCGACTCCATCAATTTCGGAAGGTAAGCTGCAAATTTGTGTCACAGATTTCTTTAACATTGTCTCTATATATCATTGTCTTATCTTATTTACATGGCAGACACGTATTGTTCGTGGTTGTACGTATGACAATATTTTTGTATTTGTATTATATTTGAAAAGATTTGTTTTGTCTTACTATGTGAAAGGGATAGTACCTCGACCGTTCTGAAGCATTGTTTGCAAACAATAGTCAATAACTCTCGAACCTTCTCTGCTCTGCTCGACTTATTCCGCAAGAAAACTTTCTGCACAAGTGGCCAAACGGCTGGTGTAGGCTTATCATGTGACCTGATTATTATCTTGTTTAAAACCAAACGCATTTTTAAAAATAAGAACAGAAAGCTGTTCTGTTCACTTAACATATTGTCTTGTGGATATGCTACTGCAACTGCGACAGCGAGGTGCATGGTAATATAGCTTTGCAGAGCTTTGATTCTTTGAAGTAAGTGATGTATGAATTGGTCCTGTGCTCTAGTAGTGACACGCGGTCATCCGGATCTGGAATGGTCATGTGTGTCTGATTACGGTTCCAGTCTTGTAATGGTGCTTGGTGCAACGTGGAAAAACCTGCCTGATGATTCTCCTGTTTGCAATGGGTCAATGGCGTTGTTGAGTTTTCATTGTTTTTGCTGTTCACTTGCTGTAAAATTGTGAATGCAAATGAAAACCTAACATTTTTATAGCCCCAAAAGGGATGTTGCTCGTGCATGTCACGTTGTTGTGTTTTGCGCCAGGCTCTCACGTGGTTGTGTTTTTGCAATTTTCCCATCCCCCCTTCCCCCAACACTCGATTTTCGATTTTACTACTTTTGCGTTTCTTTTTTCTTCAGGGCATATATAGTTTCATCATCAAAAGCAAGATATTGAAAAGTATAATTATATGTCAGTCATTTGCCAATATATATCAATGTTATGATTTATACGCGGATGTAATTGATGCCTTTGCAATGTATCTAAACTTAACGTGTTGGTAGTGTCACCGATAACGATACACGGATGTAATTGATGCCTTTGCAATGTATCTACACTTAAAGTGTTGGTAGTGTCACCGATAACGATACACGGATGTAATTGATGCCTTTGCAATGTATCTAAACTTAACGTGTTGGTAGTGTCACCGATAACGATACACGGATGTAATTGATGCCTTTGCAATGTATCTAAACTTAACGTGTTGGTAGTGTCACCGATAACGATACACGGATGTAATTGATGCCTTTGCGATGTATCTACACTTAACGTGTTGGTAGTGTCACCGATAACCGTACACGGATGTAATTGATGCCTTTGCGATGTATCTACACTTAACGTGTTGGTAGTGTCACCGATAACCGTACACGGATGTAATTGATGCTATTGCAATGTATCTACACTTAACGTGTTGGTAGTGTCACCGATAACGGTACACGGATGTAATTGATGCCTTTGCGATGTATCTACACTTAACGTGTTGGTAGTGTCACCGATAACCGTACACGGATGTAATTGTTGCCTTTACAATGTATCTCCACTTAAAGTGTTGGTAGTGTTACCGATAACCGTACACGGATGTAATTGATGCCTTTGCAATGTATCTACACTTAACGTGTTGGTAGTGTCACCGATAACGGTACACGGATGTAATTGATGCCTTTGCAATGTATCTACACTTAACGTGTTGGTAGTGTCACCGATAACGATACACGGATGTAATTGATGCCTTTGCAATGTATCTCCACTTAACGTGTTGGTAGTGTCACCGATAAAGATATACGGATGTAATTGATGCCTTTGCAATGTATCTCCACTTAAAGTGTTGGTAGTGTCACCGATAACCGTACACGGATGTAATTGATGCCTTTGCAATGTATCTACACTTAACGTGTTGGTAGTGTCACCGATAACGGTACACGGATGTAATTGATGCCTTTGCAATGTATCTACACTTAACGTGTTGGTACTGTCACCGATAACGATACACGGATGTAATTGATGCTATTGCAATGTATCTACACTTAAAGTGTTGGTAGTGTCACCGATAACCGTACACGGATGTAATTGATGCCTTTGCAATGTATCTACACTTAACGTGTTGGTAGTGTCACCGATAACGGTACAGAGATGTAATTGATGCCTTTGCAATGTATCTACACTTAACGTGTTGGTACTGTCACCGATAACGGTACACGGATGTCATTGATGCCGTTGAAGTGAATCTAAACTTAGTGTGTTGGTAGTGTTTCAGGGTGCCGACTGACGATGTACCCAGGAATGTTGCTACCGTTGGTATGCGTGGTCCTCTGCTGTGTAATGCCATCACAGCAGCAAACGAAAGGTAACTATGCAACAACATGGTCAAATATACATTTGTCTTTTTCGATAGGCAAGTATTTCGTAATCGACGTATTTGGACTTTTTTATACATCATGTATTGGCGACTTTAATTGGGTTGGTCACATTTCAAGGTCCATAGTACAACTATTGACTCCATGTATCGAGAAGCCGCTGCTTCAAGTCATTGTCTAGGGATACGAAATATAAAAGTCATGGAATGGCATTCACCATTCAGAAAATATCAGTCAACTAACGTATCTGTGTTCATCAGGTTTTCAGTTGGATCCTGCTGATTACAGCAGCACCACGGGAGGGTTTGCCTTCTTCCAGCTGATTGTAGCCGATGGAGTCACAGGAGATGGTACCTGGTACAGAAACAACGTCGCACTGAGCCAGGACTCCATCAAGATAGTCATAACAACCTCGGGTGAAGTTAGACAAATCGTCATTCAGAGCATCGTGGCGGCAGACGCTGGCACCTACACATTCCGTGTAAATAACTTTGAGGTATCAGCTGTCCTCACTGTAGACGGTAAGATATACAGTTTACTTGGTTAAGGAGTATGTTTCACAACGTTCGCAGCAATATTCCACTTTAACCATACAAGTGCGTGTACTTTTCGCCCATGTGACCGTGGATTCGATCCCGGGTCTTCGACTTGAAGAGCAACCGCGTGAGTCTTTTGGTTACCAACGTGCCATAGATAATGTTGAAGGTATGAAATAACCCAGGCCGAATGTAAGATGTAAGTGTGGTTTATTTCGTATCTTACATTAAAACTATAGGAGGCATGTCTTGCAATTAATAGGACATGTTTTGATGTATTAACTGTGCTTTATACATCATGCAGGATAATTTCTTGCTTAGGTGGAATCATCTACCAGGATGGCTTCAGAATATATCAGAGGACAGGGAACTTAAATTTAAGGTTGTATCAGTAGATATAAATATATACAAGAGCAGTGGTATTATTGCTATTGTCGACATGTAGACATTATCTCATATAGAAGGGGGCCATAGGTAACGAAATGGCTGTGCTAAATCTGCCCAAACATATGTTTTTGCGCGTAAGGGCACAACAGTAATGCAACTTACTTGGTCTTCTCGTAAAGAATAATCATGTCCTGCTCTGTCAGTAGCACCCGTGACCTACACAATTTGAGTAGAAAGTATATTTTTGTTGCCTACAACACGCACACATATCAAGGTGAGTGTAGTGAGTGCATTAACTAGCGATATACGACGAATTAATGACTGAATCACCCACTGAATGACTGTTGTAAGCCTAGAGATTTTGGGGCATACAGAATTCATTCACTATGGACAGACCCCCCTTATTCCGAGTTTCACATAAATTATGCCATATGTTACTCACTGTCAGTCCAAGACGGACAACACGTATGAATCAATCATACAGAGTAACTGTTGCTTGTTGTTCAGATTACGTATTGTTATCAACGAACAATGGATGGCATCATGTATTGTTCAGAAGAAATGAAACACTGGACGTAAAATCGGATATTAACAGACACCCTGTAAAGGGGACATGTACGACTATCTATCTTATTTGATGAGAAATATTGAACTTTTACACAGCAGTCAACAGTAAGGGGTTATAAGAGTGATAAAAGGCATAGAGATCGTGCACGTGACTCACGCAATGTTCGGCTTCAGGGAACACAGGGGTTACACCTGCCATCCAAACTGGACTACAGAGCTTCAATGTAGCACCGGGAACAACAGTGACCTTTGAGACAACACTCTCCCAAGCAAATGTCAACAGCGGAACGTGGAGAAGGAATGGAACGGTGCTAACCAGCTCTGACAAATATCAGATCACAGTGGTAGGACAAACTCAAAGTTTGGTCATCACAAACGTCCAGTCCTCTGATGCGGGGCAATATACCTACCAGGTTGGCTCTCTGACAACAACGGGAACACTGACAGTACAAACAGGTAAGAATCGATATGTGTCATATTTCATTTCCAATGACAAGCAGCATTTACCAATCTGTCAAACACATTAACGTTTGCTACTTATGTGTGTAGAGCAGTCGTTTTGCGTCCAATCTAAATAACTGTAGTTATTAGGGGAGCTAAACATGCAATATTACAAATGATCCATCAGGTTGCTTTTTTTCACTTTCTCACTTTATTCAATATAAGTAAAAGTGACCAAAGGGAAAATTTTCATACAGTAAACTACGGTTATAACGAACTCAAAGGGACCACTAATTTTAGTTCGTAATAACCGTAGTTCGTTATAAGCATACATACAGCATATATACAAGAAATGACCGGGACTAAAAAATAAGTTCGTTATATCCGTCAGTTCGTTATAAGCGTGTTCGTTATAAACGTAGTTTACTGTATGTTCTGATCATGTCTTTGATCATGAAGTGCTCAATAAACGAATTGTTTCATTCTTGTGTTAATCTTGAAATCCAAAGAAAGACAATACACACACAAACAATAACATTCGATGTATCATATACTACACTTAGTAATGTCTGTGAAAGCACAACTTCTCCGGATAGGCAAACGCAAAACTGGTGAGAAAGATCTACACACATGTTGTATCAATCTTACTTAACGTTGAGATAACTATTGCGATTGATCCTAAATAGATGTTTAACCATCTCATGCTGACAACTTGTTTCCTTTCATGTAATGATACAAATGACGATATCAAGTGTCAGTGATATTTGAACCCTTGTACACAGGGATCCATTGGACGCTATTTATATTTCCTCGCGTGAAAGCATGTGAATTTAATCATACTGAATGTTGTCAAGTAAGCCTAATTGAACGTCATGTCTCTTAGTGCGTGTTGGACCATTCCATTTAAAATTTTACAGTACATGGGCTGCTAAGATGATTGATGGCAATGCTAAGTAACATGTAACACAGGGAGTAACACCCCTCTGAAACTAGTGGATACCATGGTGGGCCAGGAAAGTCTAGAGTGTTGCATATATCAGACGTTTACCGTGTTGGTGAGAGCCATCAGCACGGATATGGTGCTGCACAGCAAGGACCATAATCATCGAGAATGGAATTCGAACCCAAGATAACTGGATACAGGCAGAGCAAAGTATGGTGTCCTTAAACAGTGGAGCTACATTTACACCAATTAACAAATAAGGATACATCGACGAATACCACATCTGTAAATATAAACCAGTGATATTTTTCATCAACAGCCCTGAGCATACTTAACGGACTGCAGAGCTTCAATGTAGCTCCGGGAACAACAGTGACCTTTGAGACATCACTCTCCCAAGCAAATGTCAACAGCGGAACGTGGAGAAGGAATGGAGCGGTGCTAACCAGCTCTGCCAAGTATCAGATCACAGTGGTAGGACAAACTCAACGTTTGGTCATCACAAACGTCCAGTCCTCTGATGTGGGGCAATACACCTACCAGGTTGGCTCTCTGACAACAACGGGAACACTGACAGTACAGACAGGTAAGAATCGATCTATGTCATATTTCATTTCCTATGACAAGCAGCATTTACCAATTTGTCAAACACATTAACATTTGCTACATATGTGTGTAGAGCAGTCGTTTTGCGTTCAATCAAAATAACTGTAGTTGCGAAGGAAACTAAACATGCAATATTGCAAATGATCCATCAGGCTTTGTTTTATTTCACTTTCTCACATTATTCAAAGTAAGTAAAAGTGACCAAAGGGAAAATTGTCATATGTTCTGATCATGTCTTTGATCATAAAGTGGTCAATGTACGAATTGTTTCATTCTTGTGTTACTCTTGGATCCAAAGAAAGATAATACACAAAAACATTAACATTCGATGTACAATATACTACACTCAGTAATGACTGTGAAAGCACAATTTCATCGGATAGGCAAATGCAAAAATGTTGAATCAAGATCTACACAAATTTTGTATCAATCTTACTTAACGTTGAGATAACTATTGCGATCGATCCTTAATAGATGTTTAACCGTCACATGCTGAAAACTAGTTTTCTTTTATCTAATGATACAAATGACGATATCAAGTGTCAGTGATGTTTTCATCCTTGAACACAGGGATCCATTGGACGTTATTTATACTTCTTAGCATGAAAGCATGTGAATTTAATTACACTGAATGTTGTCAAGTAAGCCTAATTGAACGTCAAGTCTCTTAGTTCGTGTTGATCAATTCCATTTACAATGTCACAGAACATAGACTGCTAAGACGATTGATGACAATGCTAAGTAATTGTTTGATAGGCATTACTTTGAATTTGACGGATGACAAGGTGGACACAATGTTATGGATAACAACTTCTTTAATACTGTAAACAGCGACGTTTCGGTATAGATCCTTATACCGTTGTCAAGCAAGACTGAATGAGGGACATTGTACAGAATATATATAGTAGGTGGAGAATTAACAGTAGAGGATTAACAGTAACAACAATTGTATACATAAGTGGGATAACATGAGGAAGTGATGTCAACAGAAGGATAATACTGTCACAACACAATGGACAGAGAACACATAGGTGGAAGCCAAAGGGACATGAAGCAAATTAAACAGTACAACTCATTATTACTTGATGAGTTCACAGTAGGCTGATGGGTGAAATAGCCTTGATCTCTGTTGATTGGTCCTGGGTCACGCCATGACTGACGCAAAGCCAGGCACACCAATAACGATATTCTCTGGGTTACATTGGAAAACATAAAACAAATAACGCTTCGCAGATTGTCTTTCTGTTTCTGATTACTTACATGACACATTTGTATACGATCCCTCAATCAACGAAAATCCTCCTCTGAAAATCCTGCGGACTGTTGTCAGTGAACACGCCATTATATAAAAGTCTGTCACCGGTATACAGAAGTAAACATGGCGGAAACCTTTTTGTGTTGTTAGTAAGCAGTCCATCGGATGACATCACTTATGACCGTAGTGTTATGTTTTAATGCGCCACTGCGATCATGAGAATAGACAATTCGATGCCAAAAAGGTGCGATTTTAGGGTGTGTAAGAAACAGATTACTGCATTCGTGCCTGTTTGATACCATTTATCTTACAACTCGTTGTTTCAAAGTGTATCCTTCGCTCGTTAGATACGCTTTGAAACAACTCGTTGTAAGATAAATGTTACCTGACAGACACTCGTGTAGTGATCTCTATGTAGTATTTTAATATAGGCGTCAAACCCCATACACGAAACGTATGGTACATGTTAAGAATAGGGAACTGCATCACAAATTCCGATTCCACTGCATAAAGTAAGCGTCACAAATTCCGGTTCCACTGCATAAAGTAAGTGGGCGGTCGGGTAGCCTAGTGGTTCAAGCGTTAGTTCGTCACGCCAAAGACCCGGGTTCAATTCCCGACATGGGCACAATGTGTGAAGCCCATTTGTGGTGTCCCCCGCCGTGATATTGCTGGAATATTGCTAAAAGCGGCGTAAAACCATACTCACTCACTCACTCAATCACTCGCTTAAATTAAGAGGACCAGCAACAAGGGAGCACAATTGATGCCGATGGGGATGCCTACTTCTTGCCCAAAATTCCACATAGATGTTATCTATGAGTAAATCTATCATTTTACATATTGCTTTCCCAGTAAACTTGAGATGGCATTTGCTTTCTTTTTCACAAATTTTCATGAACCGTTTTTGAATGTCGAGGCAGTGACAGATGCCCAATGAATTGTGTTGTATATATATATAATATATATGTCTGAAACTGATATAAAGAAGATGATGGACTAACGTGAACACTATTATTTTATTATATATTACATGTACACCGAGTGAACATTTACCTCATTTTTGTATATATATATATTATATTACATTTCATGTAAAACTATTAATGTGTGCCTTCTTACCTATACTGCATAGTAAGGTGTACATCCCGACAGTTTGACGGTGTGCATGGCTGAGCGAGAGATGGAAGTTTGCAATGTGAAACGCTTACTGTATGTTGCACCTTTTTCTAATTTGCATACATGTACATATTTGGTGAGCATAAAGCTTTAGTTCTTACTAACTTACCTTGCTTGCTTTTAATGGTAAGTGACGTTATTATTACATGAGTTTGGGTGCCATATTTATATATTAATATCAGCTATAATATATTTGCTATAATGAACATTGTAATCTGATTACAACAATTTATGACCAATCATTTCTTTAGTTTTACAAAGTGTAAAATACAAACAGTGCTTTGCTTTATTTTGAATTGGTTTATGCAATGTATGGCACAATCGTAACCTGTACATGTAGCTGCATCTATAGTAGAAGGCACAACAGACACGCCTTGCCAAAAGATGAAGATTCAACTGTAGAGATGTCAGTCCAAACAGAAATCATGGAGGGTAGCCATCTGAATACGGTGAATGTTAACTTAGATGCTCCTGTTTCTAGAACGTAAGTATTGTGTTAATGCTTTGACAGTGAGAGTGGCATTATTATTTCCGGGTCGATATATAGTCTTTCGGTAACTTTAACGTTTGTTTCCCTTTGAGTTAAATAAACTAAATGTACTGTGAATGTCCTTCAGAAGGACGGAAAATGGCTAAAGGATGAAAAATGACACCATTAATTATATACCATGTGTTATCCTTGCATATCAATTATGTCACCATGCCGCCGTTTCAAAGATTTATTGGAATGGTATGTATATCTGTTTTCGGTTTCAGTAAAGTCGAATTTCCACGATCCAGTCTCCAAGCAATATATTACTGACCAGCGTTAAGAAGATCTGATGATTCATCCTCGAGACATATATTGCTTGAGCATGATGTGCAACTTTACACGTCTCGTGGTATACTCCTCTCCATTTCACGTTGGAACTAAAATTATGTAAGTATACACTAATATCTCAGGAAACACATACAATCCTATTATCAAGGGATTCCTACGTCTTGCCGAAACGTTCTACAACAAACACATTACAGAAATGTATCTACTTTCAATTCTTTATGGTAGCCAGAAAGTTTCCTAATTTGACGCATCAGTGACTAAACTGATTTCCGCTTCAATTCCCTTTTTGGACTTGTACCCTATGTCCCAGTGACAATTTTAGCGGAACACTGGACTTGCCTTTGCATGTGTTTTTGACGGTTGCAACTGGTGGGGCAGGATACATTGACATATGTATGCTCATTACTGTTTGTGTTTTTTCGTGGGAGAGTAAGTTCAGTAAAATATAATCTGCCTTGAAGGAAATTATAATACAAATGAATTTATTAATTCAAAGTACTAATTCTCTTTTATCATACTATTGGATTTATTCTCTCTATCCTGAAATAACATAAGTTTTCCTTTCAAGGTCGACATTAATTGAAGGACAACCACGCTTGTTTCTACACCAGACAACTTTCTATTACTGCTTCACAGACGCCTGATCATGACCTCAACTATGCGATACAGATTATTGCCACATTGGCACCTGACTGCAATAATAATTAAATATCCCAAGATGTTATTTACTTACAAATCCATACGAAAAAAAGCAATGTACGAATACAAGAAGCCCATGTTTTCTTTCCAAGACTATCGAGGTGTACGAGCATGTTGTAGGCTTTCTTAGGTAAACGGTGTTGAGGAATTATTATTATTTTCACCATTACTTCAAGCAACGAGTGTAAGATACCATGTACAATTGGTATCTCCCGCATTCTCCATAAACCATATGACTTGGTGTTGACATACCAACATTCAAAAACATTTTACAAGCGAGGAGATAAACCTTTCCAATTGTATAGAACTCTTTACAACCGCAATATATCAGACTCATATAGTAAAATAGGTTCTATTTGAGAATCAAATAATTTAAAATACATTTTCGGTGAAATAACTCCAAGCTGAGAGATAACAGAGGGGACTTGTAACAGAGCCCTCTTTGCTCTGTTTGTGAGATTAAGTATAGACGTATTCAGATTCAGTGTATGGGTAAACAATATGCCAAGGTATTTGAATTCATTCACAACATTAATACTCTGACCTTTAAAAAAACATTTCTCTCTTGCGGCTACTCGACCACCTCTACGAAATATAACAATATTTGTTTTATCAAGATTAGTACTAAGTTTCCATTTATCTAAATATATCCCGAAAGTATGTCAAACTGCTTCTGTAGACCAAGAATAGTACTCGACATCATAATCACATCATCTGCAAAAAGTAGCATGAAGTTCTTATAAAAGTTCTTATATGTCTATCAGACTGCATGATATCAACATATAACTTATTTATAAAAAATGAGAAAAATAAAAATATTAAAACACATCCTTCGGCGTGACGAGTGAACGCTTTAACCACTAGGCTTAGAAAAGGTTTTATACACATTTCACAGTAGCGTTTTCTGTTGTATTCACTGTGTCAATAATCACCAACACCCCAAGGGATGGTGTATATCCTGCAGGGGTCCATGCAGGTAGCAAAATTACTGTAAGTCTCCATGGTCCCTAGTGTGGTGATCTGCCTTCAGTTACTGGCGATCTATAACACATTTTATATGTTGTGTTTTTAATGCTAATTTATATCTTTTATGCTCTCCAACTAGTTTTACGTAAATCTGTGATATTATGGTTATTGTACTGTTCTTCGACGACATGACTTTATACAGTTAAAATATGTAACATTTGGTCTCGTCACGACATGGCTGAAATATTGCCGATGTGACGTTAAATTTATCTCACTCTCTCACCCAGACAAATGATAAACAATGTTAGCCAACATGTGGCGTTCCCAACCCGTACACGGATCATATCCACATGATGTCCCCCCATGCTTAATATCAGACGCCTCATCCTCCACTGAGAGATGTGTTGCTGTTGCCTGGGTCAATTCTTGAAGGTTTTGTACTGGAGGATCCCTGGCTTTAACCCTAAGCCCTAAGTAATCCCACAGATGCTCGATTGGATTCAGGTCTGGGCTACGAGAAGACCACGGTAGAGTCTCTTTGACGTTGTTCTTGAGATGGTTAGTCACCTGACATTTGACTAAATCAAGTTGACAACCTTATCCTGCTCAATTCACTCGACGCCTCTGTTGTGGGTATGTGAGCAATGACGAAAAACAGTGCAAGTTGAAGTTGGCAGCAGTTTTGCCTGCTGTACACGGACCTTGTCCTCTCTGGCACTGTTCTTCGTGGACGTCCTGATCTGGGCAAGTCCCTCACCTGTCAAGTCAATGTGTGTGACTGATTACAGTATGATTAATGTTCAACACGCTGGCAATAACACGATATCACATGCCACTTTGGTACATGCCATTGATTTGACATCATGGATTTTCTGTGACTGTATGTTTAGGCCTTACAATCGTTCCAAAGGCAGACCTTCAAACTGGAAGAATTCCATTCCATTCAAAACTCGTTGGAAGCGTATCCAATACATATTATTATTATGTGGCTGTATTCAAAACAATGATTCTAACTGTTGTTATGTGTCAATTTTCGGAAGCCTGACCACTGTCGCCGCTAGGCGAATACATCACTGACTTTTGCTATCATCACTGTATCTGTGTATTTGATATTGACCACTGTCATCATATTATATATTGCCACTGAATATTGAACTACCACTTTATTGTGTCTTGCCATTTTATGTCCTGTGCACTAATTTGTATTGATTTGTAAACCTAGTGAATTTTGTTATACAATATTTGATTGTCTACGACCTGTTTGTCGTTTGTTGGTTTCACACTAAGTTCTTTTACCTACAGATTTCTGGGTTAAGATATTGTTTTAATTTGGGAATCGACACGTAACACTATCATAATGTAGCTTATGGAAATACCAACTTCTGGATAACGGACACGTTGTAAAACGTTTCGCCATGTGTAATCAACGGTTTGTGTCTGTAGAATTAAGTTTTCAGCAAGTACTGTTTACATAGTTCTCTGTGAGACGTCGCGATGGCAAACTGGAAACGCTTCAAAAAGCAGCAGGCCAACAATTTTAGTATGTCACCAACACAAGAATGGTAACAACCTTCTTGCCCAGAACGCTTTTACTCGAAATTCTTTCTTATTACAAATTATCTCAATCACTTACCCAAACCTAGCTCAGACATGTGTCAGATGCACGAATGGTACGAAAAGTCTGGTGATTAGCACTAACAAAGAACGCATGTCTTTACTGTTCCACTTGTGGGCATTCTGAAGGAAGATTAACAATGTGCATTCGCGAACACTGGGTATTATCACTGTTTGATAGTGAATCATAAACACGTGCATTGGATATGTGTATGGAAAGGGTTTTGGCGCAATTTTGCATACCTCAACATCAAATAGTGTACATGCTGTCAAGGAGATACCTCAACAGCAAATAGTGTACATGCTGTCAAGGACATACCTCAACATCAAATAGTGTACGTGCTGTCAAGGACATACCTCAGCATCAAATAGTGTACATGCTGTCAAGGAAATACTTTTTCATTAAATACTTGACATACTGTCTAGGAGACATCTCACCATCAAATAGTGTACATGCTGTGAAGGAGCTACTTTACAATCAAATAGTGTACCAATGTAACTTTATTTTAAGATGTAGTGACTTGTGTGATTCTATAATCAGAAAACCATTTGTTAAAATGCCGAAAATTACCCCCATTTCTAAAAACATATAGTTCTGGTCTTTTTTAATGTGTCTGTAGCCCCACTTGTATCTGTAGAAATGAGACATCACAACAACATCATCAGCGAACATCTATAGCATGACATCCTTAATATATTGGCTTACTGAAATACCATGATCCCACTTTCATACATACCATTTACCAGTTCATCAATTAGGAAAGCAAGTGAACAACTGGGGACACACAATACATCCATACATACACCAAACATTGTATTTTTAGTTACTTGCTTTCATACATGGTTTTAGAATGTTATGGATATTCTACCATGACATTCTGTTTAGATGTAACATTATATACTAATTTCTTCCTGTCTACAAAATCAAAAGCATTTTTAAAGTCAAATATTGTCTGTTGTTCAATATATTTTACGAACCCTTGCTTGTTCTTCATAAATAAAATAATTTATATCAACGCATATTCTTAAATTATTTTCTAAAATGTTATAGCACTGATATCCCTCTACAATATTTGACACTGTTGACACTTAATAAATGGAACCCTATATACCGGTATGTGGATATCACATGTAAAGAGTTGTTAAAAAATTATTTGATAGTATGGTTGTCCCCATTTGTGTTATGGTTCAAAAATGGGGAGTAAAATAATTAAAGTAAAAAATAGAGTAAAGAAAAAATAGAAAGTAAAACTTCGACTTTGATGAAAGCGGACGTGTTCATTTGGTTACCCATGTAAACATATTCATTTTCAGTTCGGTTTTGGATTTGCCTGGATAGTCCAAGATGTTGGAAATATAAACATGTTTATATCCAGTTTTAAGAACAGAATATTTGGTAATCTCAAGCAAGCCTTCCATGTCCAATTAATCAGAGTGTAGGTACTATGTACAGTTTAAGTGTTTTACATTTATAAATGTTGAATTGTACCTTTCATCAAATAACCCTTCTTACTAAAGTCTGTTAGATGTAGTATTTTGGGTTAGCTGTAGAACCTGAAAGATACACATTAATGAATATTCACAGAGACTTTGCCCATTTTGTAAAATTAATAATCAGTTATATATATTGGAGATGATCAATACACCTACAATCTGGGAAATCTATTGGCATCTACAACAAATGAAGCATTGTAAATGTTTGTCAATTAAGTACGTCAATTTTGGAAAGTTTAACCAGCCACATAACTTGTACAACTCTGTTCTGAATATCCACAAAATGTAAACCAAAACAAGCTCGCGTCTCTAAATGACTGCATTCTGACCTTTCTATTGAATAACATATACCTGTCTATATAACGGTATCTATGGTTCCGGGGTAGAATAGATCTTCACCAACCCATGCTTGCCGGAAAGTAGACTCATCTTCCCGAGACAAGTGAGTTAACTGACTATGAAAGTCCAATTTCCACCCTTACCGAACTAGGCTGGTATTATGGAGTTACATTTTGGCTGGACTAACGAGTCTATGCATAGTCCAATCACAATCGCGCAACGAAATCGAAATCCGGTTGTGAACTGTCAATCAGATTTCGTTTGATTGCAGGATTTGCAAAGCATGTGCATCGCCAGCTCGTTGTCAACAGATATTTTCCAAATCTTTAAATGTTTTAATCAAGGTACTCACGTGATTTGTTGCAGTTGGCGATGTGAGACCCGTTCTGTCACAATATAGATCCTCATTATCGATCGACCGGGCGCCGCCATTTTGTTTGAAGCAAATGCAAGTGATACGAGAGGTGGAATCTGATTGGTCCACAGGAGAGGCATAGAGGGACATAACTCATAATAGCTACTGGTGGCGCTACGATCGAGCCAAGGAATTCCATCCTACTTCGGCAAGGGTGGAACCTGGACTTTTATAGTCAGTTGACTCTATTGCCTCGAGAAGATGTCACCCCATACCATGCCAACAGCACCATGCCACCTCATACAATGCCATCAATATCATGCCACCCCACACCATGCCTCATCTGTTTCATATTTAGATTTAGAGTGTCAAAACACTCTCCACAAGTCTGCATGATACCAGAGCTGACTTCAACTTTCTAAAGACAACTTTTCCTTTTATGTCGAGCGATATTCCTACAGCACCAGCCCTTGGTGTCTAAATTTCACAACTTTAGGGGTACGATCTAGCCTGGTCTTTCTACCAAGTTTTCAAAGAGCGCCCTACGACTCAGAAGCTGTTTGGTCAAGGTTACAACATTCAAGGCCCGAGTAAAGCTTTCAAAATGCTTCATGGTAAACATATTGAGGACATATCTATATTGGACGCATCAGTGAATGTCCGATGCAATTCCCTATTTTGACTTGTACCAAATGTTCCCGTATTTTTTAGGTGAACAGTTGACTTGCCTCACCCTTTTGCAAACACCTGGCATCATCACTATTTGACACTGATTCATAAACACATGCTCATAATATAGTAGGAATGGTACAATTGACTCAGCATTTAGCAGAGATTTCTTATGCAGTCGTTAGAAAAGTGATTCATTCCAAGTTAGAAACATGGTATTCAGAACATGAATTATAATCCTTACATATTTCAGAGATAGGTCCTCATAAGGCCACATGTAGGATAACTTTCTATGTTGTGTTAGACAATAAGTTCTACATCAAGAGGAGATTCTGTCGGAGGTTTGGGAGTGAGGGGACAATGTGATTACCAAAATATGTACATTAAATCCCGGATACCTGCACTGCCATTCATATAATAAAGGTGCATTTGTAAAAAGGAAATATGTTCAGGGACATCTTTCGGCCTCTTGTTGGCCTTCAACCACTCCTTATCACGGCAGGACACTTTACCGTGAGCCTGCCACATTTGTCCTAATTTTGAGAGAACTTTTTCCCGGAGGACGGTCGCATCATTTGCAAGCGTGAATTGACTGTTCAAGCACAGTATGTGCTACCGATAGGGCAGGACATACTCGCACCCATGACAGTACGTGTTACTTTAACACTTTGAGACGGTTAACCCACAAAGCCTTCACCTATATCAACGAACCACCGCCGCGGTCTACAGGGTAGATCGCCTGGCCGGGTAGCGGAAGGTCGGTGTTTCGATTCAAAACCGTTAAAATATCAGTTTTGTCTGCAATTGATGTAAGGTGAAACGTAACGAAATAATTCAAAGGAGATCATAACGATGTGTCGAACAGATGCTGAAGGAATTTGATGTAAGTAGAATGGTGTTGACTGACAAAACCAAGTACGGATCGCGTCGATGTACTGTCTCGTATAAAACGAATAAATGTCAAAATGCTGTTGGTCTGATGAGTTTAAGAAAACATATTTGCCGTTCATACGCTTATGAACGTCAGATTCGCGGTCATGTGACCGGACTCTCGTCCAATGGAAAAGCCGCATGTCATGTGAACTTCACATTAAAATGTTTAATTGAAATACACGCCATCGCACCTTAGGAGTCTTTTGAGTGGCCCGCTTGAAATGAGCTTTGGAGAATACCTTTTGGCGTCACAGAACTGGAAAATTTTGTGTATAAGGCATGCTTTTTGCAGATTATCTGAGATGAAAGCGATTTACTACATGATTTACTACAATGAAGAAAACATAACTTTTACGTAGAAAATGCTGCTTCGTTTTATGGGCGTTTTATTATATGCTGTAAAATATTTTAGATTTAACGTTTTACATGAAAATTAGTAAATTATCAACATATTTCAAGGATATTATTATATTCATTTATTATGGACATTAATATGATGATAGTAAAACGATAACGTTATAGTTGTATCTGATGTATGGACAAATGGAGTAACACATGTTTAATCAAATTCTCAATTGACGATTTCGCGGACTAATTTTCATGTAGAAATTTCATTTTCACCATGGTTATCAAACCAACAAACTTTCACACGCTTGTTTGGTGTTCGCATTAATGGAGATTTACAGCCTGAGGAGACGTACTAATAACTGGATGCGCACTGGGCACAAAAATTGTACAGAGGCTATGTGGCATCCAGGTCGTTAAATTGAGCAACTGACATGTAATAGTGCTGTTACGTGATAGCTAGTTTATTCATTCCTGGTCACAATAACATCTTAACCATATA